GGGGGGGGGGGGGGGGGGGGGGGGGGGGGGGGAGGCTCTGGTTAGTCACGACTCCTCTGCCCAGCAAATGAGCATGAGCAACAGGGTGAACGTCTCCCTCCTCTCCCTCCCTCCCTCCCTCCTCCTCTCTCTCCCTCCCTCCTCCTCCTCCTCCTCCTCCTCTCCCTTCCCCTCCTCTCCCTCCTCTCCCAGACTTCAGCATGCCACAGACCTGGTTGCTAAGGTAACCTCTTGTGTTGATGGGTTCACCACTACCGAGCAATGAGGGCAAATTAAGAAGGGCGGGCGGCTCGTACACTGTTTGTCCTTTTAAAAAGAGGGTTACAACAACACGGAGCAAAGACGTGGGAGACATCTTTTACACGTTTTACCCTGAATAGCAGCAACTGTAAACAAAATAAATAGATAACATAACACCAGCAGAGAAGCTTTTCTGTGATGTTCATTTTTCTCTTTAATTTCCAAAAACATGGTGGCATATTTTCGCTGTTCTAATAGAAAACAAATGTCTATCTTAATACTGTAACCATGCAAATAATTAAATAGAGATATAATTGAGGGGAAATGAACATATCTTAATGGAGATCCGTCATTTCCTCTGGATTATCTCCGTGTTCCGTCACATAAATATATAATAATAAATAATCAATCCTGATTCATTTATGTGATCCTGATTATCTATCTTTCTTTAAAAAATGTGCTATTTTGTAAAAAACAACTATTGATAGAATAATTATAACAGACTATATATATATCACTTCTATAACCTACAAAGCCTAAAATGCCAAAAGCAAGTAAACAAAAATAACACACATCAATAATAATACAAACAACATAAAACCTAAACAATAACAAATACTAACAAAGACTGAAGAGCCCTTAATTGATGTAATTTCCTCTCGTAATAATTAAGTCTCCCCTGCGTATTTGCAATTAAAAGATGACAAGCGAACGAAAAGCAACAAAAGTCAAACTTCTGACATCTTTTGACTTCACAAAATGTTGTTGATTTTAGCCAATAGCAGAAAAGTGTTTAAGGCAAGATGGCCTCCTCTCCTTAAATCACCAAGTATTATTGTTTGTGGGAACATAAACACCCACAAGACAATAACATGAGGACAACCCCCCCAAAAAGCATCAGATCCTCCATATCATCATTACAGAAACATGCGTTTTGAGTCTTTCTCTCCGTGTGTGATGTTTATAAGACCACCATCGATACACAAGTTGCCTCTGAACAGAAGTCAGCATAAATGTACCTTCGCAGGGAGTCCGAGACCAGCAGAGAGCAGGAGGCGTACAGAGAAGACAGCGTCTGAGAAGGAGTCTGTGTGGGCGGGTTGAGAAATGTTGCATCTGAGCACACATGCAGAGCGTTGACACGAACGTCTGCTCCATCTGCTGCCACTACAGCAG